CAACATCAAACGTTGTTGAAACAACGTTAAATAGCGTTGTTGAAACAGACCATACAGGTTTCAATCAACAAATTTTGCTTCAGCCTAACCTAAATCAAATAAGCGTCCCAAAGGATTCAATTTTCGGTGACGTAGCTCTCATCACCGACTGAAGTACGCAGTGCACCGCGCACCGGGCTGTATAGGACGGAGCAATCTTTTCTCAGCCGTTTAATCATACAAAGCTTTGCAACAGCGCAGCGAGCCCAAGCCGCGGAGTGAGTTTGGCGGAGTTCGGCCGGACCAAGTCAGGCGGGAAAATAAGAACTCAAATTGAGAGCACGACCGATCAACATCCATTACATTACGCAATCATTGTTACGCACCTGGGCTCCTCCTCCTCTGTTCGCACCGGGCCCATGTCCATTGGTGGTGGTGTAGTGGACGACACCAGTGAGGTCAGATTGGTGCCGCAGCCGGCGATAGAGGTGGGTAGAGGTTCGGGCTGTTTCCCAGATCCGTACGCGCCCATCACTGCCCAGACGCTCGTTGCCATGGCCGTTAGAAGTCCTGCCACGGCACCCTGCCACGGAGGAGAGACGTGGACAGTCTGTTCGGTGTCCGGGAAACGGGCAGCTACCATGGCCTGATGCAAACACAGCACGGACAACAACGATGCGCTAAATCCACCAGGACATTTGACAAGAAAGCAGGTGCGAGTCTCACGAGCCACGGAAAGGGAATACGGAAGTTGTTATTGTTACATTGCTCTTCCCATGCTGTGACAAAACTTAAAAAATTCCTGTGTGGGCATGCTAGCTGTTCGATAAAATCTTTCACAAAAGGGCAAAACATTGTCACCCTTTAATGCCATTTGTAAATATTTTTTTTAGGTCAAACTTGTACATGGATGGATGGATTCTAACTATTTCACACGGAGACCGGACTGGAAAACAGAACAGAAAATACCTCCGGCTGCTCACGCAACAATACAGGTGTATCAATCCATCGTAAGTTACGTAATTTACCCAACTGACGCTGAATCTCATTACCATCCCGTTTACCTTGCCGTTGGAAAACGGAACGAAGATGCCCAGCATGAAGACACCATGCACAGGACCGCTGACCGCTCCAGTGATAGACAGAGAAGCCTGCAGCACTCCTCCAAGCTGGCTGGCCATGAAGGCCATGCCCACTGCCAGACAGCCGTAAAGAAAACCTGCCGAAATATGACCGCGTTAGAGTTAGGCCTTTTCTTTGACATCTTCGTTCCTTTGCACGCATGGCGGTGTGGCGAGATTCTGCATGGATTTGAATAGACCAATCGCCACGAAATTGAGCATTTTAGGCGCCCCGTGTCGACAGAAAGGCAGAGTTCACGCTCATCCTAATGTAATACATGCACAAATTTATTAGGCTGATACATTGAAGCCAGTTGCCAGTTAAAGGACTGCGTATGCAAGATGTTTCTCTGTTGAGATTGAAGAAAGTGATTCTGCAACAGCGGTTCTTAATTTGACTCAATTACCCTAAACTCACTGATGCCTCTAGTTATCCAAGACTGTGTGATTGGCAACATGTTCTTGAAGAAGTTGATGTTGCTGAGGAAGTCCTGCCAAGTGATGGCTGCCAGCGAATTGAGGCCGGAGGAAATGGTGCTGAGCGCTCCAGACATGATGCAGGCCACAAAGAGGCCCGGCAGACCCGTAATGTAGGACATCTGGTCCAGCACGAAGTAGGGCACCAGCTAGAACAGAAACATTATATCCATTCAGGCTATGGAACAGTCGGCTCGAGTTGGACGTTGCAACCGCGCCTTTAGACACATTTCCGCTCTCGCCGGTGTGGGGGGGCATTGACATATTAGCATCCACATATTAGAGTCGAGTAGTGGAATAATAACATCACACAGTTTTGGCCATGCGCGCTCACAAGGCTTACGACGAAAACCCTGGCAACTGGCGTTGCAGTCTCCGGAGGCAGCGTGGCGTCAGTTCTAAGACTTATATTAGACGGCGGCTAACGGGCGGGTGAGAACGACAGCGTTTCTGAAGAAGTACATTGCACACTTAAGGTTGTCGATTTACCTCTTTTTTCGTTTTTGCTGTCGGACAACCTCGAATTCTACAAGTAAAATATATGCAGCGGTCCAATTTCGGAGCGGTACGAGCTCATTTTTAACGGCTTTTGACGCATCATTTCACGACGGCTGTTCTCAGTTGTCAGGTACCCATCGCCAGGTAACCACCGGTATCCCGGTGTTGTCTGCAGTGGCCAACGCCACTTAGCGTCATGCAAACTGCAGTTCCGTTCATTGATGCTCTTGTTCCTAGGATTGTGAGTACGTAGGCTGAGCTTTATTTTTATTTTTGGAATTTGCTTCGCATGTTGATCATAAAAGCGGATGCAGGCCTCGTTTGTGTTAGTGTTTCAACGTTTGCCTCATTGCGATCCTCCCTACTGAACACTAAGAAAACCCTTACCTTTTCCGGACAAGGGACCGAGTGGATAGAACAATAGGAGGCACATTATCTTTCTCGGTCAGGAGATTCGGGGCCGTTCCATTACAGCGTTGGGTGACTAACGGCTGTCATGCTGGCGGCACAGGGGCAGGATCCCCTTAGTCACCCTTAGTTAGTTGTCACACGGTCACCCTTAGTCACACGGTCACCCTTAGAAGGTTGCATCATACACTGGTTGCCTATCTTGCACCGGAGGCTCCCTGACCCGCCCGGCCACTTGGTCCCAGATAGACTCAGAGGTCTTTATTGGTGCAAAATATCCCTTCTCGTCGCAGGTGTCCAATAATTGCCAGAGAGACTAAAGTTTGGCATGACGGGCCTTGATTGAAATGGGATGGATAGCCCCCGTCCGATCCCGGGGCCCTGCCTGACAAAGGGAGTTTCATTTCTCATTGCGGACTTTCATCGTAACCTCTCATATCCACCTGCGTTGTCAGAAAACCCTGACCAACGCAACAGGCCCCCGACATTCGGGGTCTCATCCCTGTCCCTGTTCAGAAAATGGTGTCATGGCCGACCTGAGTCCTTACCAACATTGGGCCCTCTATTAGGTACTGAGGGCCACTGGCCAACAAAGAAGCCCTCTTTGCTCTAGGGATCACGGCCAATGCAAATCATGGGTTCCCACCTTATCCTTGCTTGGGAAATGGGCCCTCAGAGTTCAGGCCGACAGGGAGCCGACTGCTCGTCGTTGGTGGCCTAGGACCGAAATAGAGACCCTGAGTGCCTCAGGGTGTCCCAGGGTGTACCCAACAGGAACAAGAAGCCTTCCGACTGACATTTGGGGGCCCGGTCGTGCGTGTCCCGGTCGTTCTCATGGACCTGGCAAAGCGTAAACCTGAAACCTTAAGAATAGAAGTAAGGAGTCACGCTCAGGTAGGTCATATTCTACAACAATTTGCCAAAGCAGTTAAAAAATGTCATCGACTGGCCGGAGGCTGTGATGGCATCCTTCTATACTATCGGTAGTTGGTAGCCCAAACCTGATTGTGAGACCAATAGGTATGCATGCCAGGAATTCAGGCGCGCGTGCGTGTTTACCATTCTGCATGTTGTGTTGTCGAGGCCGCACATGTGTTCAGGCAGCGAAGGTACAGTCACAGAGCTCGTGAAGTCTAAATCACAGGCTTGACATTACTGGCAAGGTAACTTCCTAGTTACAATCAAAGCATTCACAAATCCTTACGTTTCTTGTTCTAGGAACACGTGAGATTCACACACTGATTTAAAATGAATGATTACACCTGTTTCGCAGTGGGTCTTTCGTTCCGCGGATTTCATCCGTTGCTAGGCAACCCACCGGTGGGTCCTCACGTCAGAACTGTCCTCATTCCTCGCTCAGATCGGGAGCCGCACCTGGTCCTTCCTCTCGATGAGAGCCATCCGGAGCGGGTCGCAGTCGGCGTACGTGGCGAAGATGGCCAGACCGCACAGACAGGCCAGCGATATGTAGAGAATGTTGGCCGGGGCGTTAAGGAGACAGGCGCTGAAACAGACGGCGGTGCCATTGGTTCCCTTATCAGGGTAGGACAAATGTGGCCGCCACAGCAGCTCTCCTTGCTTGGATGCACATCGATATCAGAATGCGACTACAACAATGATACATGCAAGGCTATACAAAGCCAGTTAAACCTGTAAACGGGGGCTACGTGACCTTTTGGTATGACACAAATCACAGCTGAACCCACCGGTAATAGTTTCAGAACGTACACTTTTGAAAGGCATCAACTATGTCGCTGCAGTACAGATATCCACTGCGGGCTTTGTCTTCGGCGAGGTGATGAGATTTCCTCCGATTCAAAGCCTTCCTCCAGCCCAAAGCCTCGGTTTTAGCGGACTTCGCTTGCTTTTAGGGCCGGTGGGCTGATGACAGACTTTTAAAGAATTCTTACTCCAAGAATGAATATGCAAGTATGAAGAACCACAAGCAAGCCATGTTTAGCAACAGGCATTAGGCGCAAAACACGAGTCGCATCTGGAGGAACTGTCTGCCAAGGAACTGAGACTTGGGGGCTGTCGATGCGTTGTTGCTGGCGCATTACAGCCCCACATTTATGTGACAGTTGGAGCGGTCGAATGGACGTAACTCACATTCTAGCCGCCTTCAGGGTGGGTAGACTCATGTAGCGTTGTACCGAGCTCTGGTTCACCCCCATCACCCCGGTCCACATGAACAAGGTGCCGAAGAACAGATTCCAGAAGTTATGCCTGAGGCGAGCACACGACATCTTACACGATTGATGCAAGACACTTCTCGGCTTGTTTTGCTGTTACGTTGACTCGGTGTGCACGTAAGGAAAGGCAGGCGTGACGTTGGCAAAGTGACGCGGTTAATGGCGCAGGCGGGAGGAGCAGGGGACACGTGCCTTCTTAGGTTTCGAGGGGCTTGACAGGCCACTAGAGACCCACGATAAACGGCCCGATCTGAGGGCCCTGAGGGTATGAAGGGCTGACCGAAGGTCCCATTATGGGGTCTGGTCCGAAGGGTCTGGTCCTCAAATGTCAGTCACAGGACCTTTTGCGCCAATTGGCCCACTGCGTCGATGATGTTCTTTGTGCCTGTCAGACGCCACCGGTACAGAACAGTCTGCTCTGTTTTGGTCTAGGGGCTCAGGGCCATTTCTCAAGCAGGGACAAGGCCGGAGACACTAAGTCAATGAGGGGCCCACTGTGCCTGACAGGGGGCCCTGTGCTGGTAAGGATTCCAGAGTGGCCAGAGGCAGTGTTCAAGGGGACCCAAAGAAGGGCCCGACGGGCCCCAAGGGACCAACGGTCAAGGGCCCGATAAAAAGGCTGAAATGCCCAAGGGGTTGGCTCTAGGTCACATTAAGTACACCGGCCCGCAAGCTCGTGACTTCGGATGTCAGCCAGAGAGCCTCTCGCAGCGATTAAGAGCCCCATTGGGAAATGCGTGCTGGCTGGAGCCTCTGACGAGGCGTTAATGATGAGAGGTAACAATGAAACAATGAAAGGGCCCTGTGTCGTTGAGGGCCACCCGCACCGAACGGGAGAGGAGTAGGTGGGGCGGAGCTCCACCCCAGTTCAACCAAGGGTTCGTTAGTGGACCACCTGTGGCGATCAGGGAGCTTGTTGCGCCAATGAGGGCTCCTGCGTCAAGCCGAGTCCACTAGCAGAGCATTTACCTTTGCCAAGGACTCAGTTTAAAGTCAAACATATCCATCCTGCCATGCTCGGCGTTGATGTGGAATATGTTGCCAAATCCTCCCACGTTGATGGAGCCTTGAACAACGATGGCCACCATACCGGCACCCATGACGACCGCCTGGAGAACATCAGCCCAGACCACGGCCTTGAGACCTCCCTGAGAATGAAACACCCGGTCACTGTCTCAGAATATCTCCTTGGACACAACACCTCATTACCTCGGGGCTCTTTGTAAGCAGCGCTGTGATCCTCTTCCACAAACAGCGGTACATCTTTATTTTCTCGGGAAATTATCATAATTCGGGAGGCGCTGACCGGTTGTTTCTCAACTGTAGTTGTCCTTTTCCAAATGCCTCACTTTAACTATTCAATGGCTGACATATAGCCTAACAACGAATCAAGATGCCAAACTCGTCATGCACCGCACAGCTCGTTGGTCCGCTCACAATCGTTGTGTAGAGGGTCGCCACGACGGCCGTGCAGATGATGCTGGTCTCCAGGTTCAGGTCAGTGGTGGAACTCAAGGCCAGACTGGGCGCGTACAGGGCGATGGCCATGTACAGCGATGTCTGCACCAGGTAGCCCAACACGCAGAATAACCGCAGGACGTGGCTGTCAAATCTGGAACATGCAACCATGAGGCGGTAGGGACACATCGCGCTGGTTGCATCTCACCAACAAAAAGCTGTTACGTCTCTGACCGTAACTGTGCCGGCATGGGCAGACATCGGACAGCGTACCTGAGTTGCAGGTACTCGTTGACGGACGTCAGACGGCATCGGTAGAAGATGGGCAGGTAGAGCAGGGTCACAGAGGGCAGGACGACTGCGAATGCGAGCACCACTACCCAGTTACTGCGCGCCGTTCGTGTACATCTCGGCTGGCGAACCTGCCCCAGGCCGGTGCACCGTCATCGGCCATGATGTTGGCGTAATATTACTGCTAGGTGGGGTACATCATTACCAAGAAATGGCACCACAGGGCTTCGTCTAAAAAATAGTGCCCCGTTTGCTTGCCGGTGATGCCACCGTCGTCGTCGTGTTTTAATGGGTATCTATCTATCTATCTATCTATACATATCTATCACACTTCTCCACACATAGGCAACTGTAAGCTGGAAACCTGGGTCAAGTCCATTTAAGCCCAAAGAACTATCTCTATTCCTTCACGACTGCGTGGAGATATGAGGCTCTGTCCTCCGATAATGCATCCTTGCAAATCAGAGCTCCTATCGAGAGGGCGCTGGTTCACCACGAGCCCGCCACACAGTTGGCAGTTTACCCAAAATCAGGATAGCCGAGAGGAACGTTGCCATGATGGAAATGGCTACGGGTACAATGGCCATGTTCCTGCCGCCAAGCAGCATCTCAGCGTTGGTCTGTTTGCCGCGGAAGGCGTGGTACACGCCAATCAGCAGGGAGAACACCAGCACGCTGCCGAACACGCAGTAGTCCACTAGGCCGAACGTCTTCGGAGACGCCATGCTGTCGGCCAGATCTGAAAGCGAGAACGCTGGCATAATATCTCTCCAGATTGCGCCGACTTTTGCCGTTCACTGTGACACAAACGGGGACGGAATCTGCACGTATTTTGGTCACTGAACATCGCCCCGAAGTTGCTCGGTAAGACGGTGAGACAGGGATGGTGTGAGGGGTGGACGGCCCAGAACGCCTGTATTTTTTGACGTTCTTTTTAGGTACAATTGTTTAGTGGTCATAAACCTATCTATGTCGTCATTCTCATGTTTTTTCTTCGAGGAATAAGGCTTTTACTTAACTGTCTTATCCACGTCAATAATGATCCTCGCAAATACACTGAACAACTTACTGTTCAGTGACCCAATAGCAGCAGGGTGATTCGATGCCTTGAACTTGCCATGGTGTCAAAATGGTTGGAAAAGTGAGGTATGTGTGTGTGTTTGAATGTGTTTTGTAATTTGAACTGATATTCACGTTCATGATGGTTCGCCTTTAATTATGTCTCGTAGACCGTGCGTCGTATTGCGCCATATTCGAATGTTTTCCGTCTTACTGTCTCACATTGCCTTGAGAAAGGCAAACGAATGTCCTTGAAACGTTAGTTAGCTGAAACCAATTTAGATCGTCATACGCGAGCTGATCTATGTCTTACTGAAACAACGACAGATTTAATTCGAGCGATCGAACAACCACGCAAGGAAATGATTAAACGTGCATAAGTCCTTGCAGAGAGAGAGCTGTAATATCTATATCTATATATATATATATATATATATATATATATATATATGCATCTCTCTTCTCTCTCTCCCTCTCTCCCCTCTCTCTCTCTCTCTCTCTCTCTCTCTCTCTCCTCTCTCCTCTCTCTCTCTCTCTCTCTCTCTCTCTCTCTCTTCTCGCTCCTCATCCTCTCGGCCTCCCTCCTCTCTCTCCTCTCCTCTCTCTCTCTCTCTCTCTCTCTCGCTCTCTCTCTCTCTCTCCTCCTCTCTCCTCTCTCTCTCTCTCTCCTCTCTCTCTCTCTCCCTTTCTCTCTCTGTGTCTCTCTGTGTGCATGTGTGTGTTTTAAACTCGCTTTAGCGGATGAAACACATTACAATACGACGCATCTTATTTTTCTTTTGAAATATTTAGGAGCTGACGTCTTCTGAATAGTTTGCCTTTCAGACAGAGAACACCCCCACATTGACCAAATTAAGAATCTGCCCTCTAGCTATGTTAATAGATAGGGTACATCCACAAGCAAATGGAGCGTTGCATGCAGGCGCGCAGCCAGGGCCTTGGCAAGGGAGGGGGGGGGGTTGGTGGAGGGTTGGCAAAAGGCCCCCCAAAACATCGCCGGATATGGCCGATTTGTTAATGATGGCATAGCCTTCTTTGATATTATGTATATATATATATATATATATATATATATATATATATATATATATACAATACTTTCCCTTCTCTAACTGAAATAGAAGCCACACGCTACCGCGAGATCAAACTGAAGTTTATAGCCATTAAAGCAAAAGTAGCATGCGTTAAATGACTATGAAATAACTCGTTGGCGCCCTTCATTTTATAATGATGCGAAATATTTTTAAACCAATAAAACTCAGAACCTTTATCATAATTTTTATCTGGATTAATTTATATAATTTTTATCTGAAATATCAAAATGGGTCAATAGCTTGTAGTAACATGACCAAGCTATGTTTGCCTGCAGCGTTCAACATTTAGTCGAAATCGATCAATGGTACAAACTATTTGACGTAGTTTTGGGCATGCGTGATCCCATATCTTCGCAACAAAAACCTCGACGCCAGGCTTTGCAGTCTCCATGGGTTGCGCAGCGCTGGTCCCGTGATTAATATTAGGTCGTGGGCAACAGGTCCACGGAAATGATGACACATTTGAAAGAAGTACCTTCAAGCGCTTTAGGACACAAAGCCGTACATTTATCCTCTAACAACCTCAGCCTCAAAGTTGTAAAAAAGATTCACTCAATCTTATCGTCAAGCTGTACGAATTGACTTTGAAGCATATTCAGAAATATCATTCTACGACGGTCGTCGTTAAGCACACAGCACCCGCCGCTTGGCGTTCCTTGCAGTGGCCAACGCCGCTCGGTTTTACGGGACTGCAACTCAGACCATCCCTGTCAGTGCTGCCCGATAGTGCCGGCGCGTCATTGGGGCTTTACGACGCACTCAGGCGCACGACGACGACGACGCATAAACTTGCAAATCGCGGGCCCCGGTCTCCCTGCTGCTTTGGGAATGAATCGCAAGGGCTTTCATGGACATGAAGCCGACTTTTCGGTGTGGTTATTCTCCGGCCGACTTAGGTGCCTGCATTGGCCCAGGGGGTTCTTAAACGGTGCAAGAGAATCTCTGACTAATATGTCAGATCACGATCCTACAGGCCACGATTATTTATGTCACCTGCAGTCAGTCCCTCGGGACCTTATTTCCTCCAACTGGACCTTTGATCGCCGGTTTCGGTGGGCCGCCCGGCCTCTCTTCGGGCCTCTTTGAGCACTTCTCTTGGTCGGCCCGGGGCCTTTGCGAGGAGGACCCTCTGTTAGGCGCCGTGGGCCCCTGACAGATACAGGGCCCACGACCGGTGTAAATCATTGATGCCGGCTTTGTCGCTGCTTGGGGAATGGGCTCTCCGGCCCATGCCAGCACGGTGGCGATTACGCGGCTCTGGTGGTGCCTGACCGACAGACAGGCTCATATCGACTCATGGGGTCACTGATCGGCGCAAAGGGCCCCTTGACTGTTATTTGGGGACCCGTTCTCGCTGGCCGGACCCCTAAATAAGACTCCGACCAGCCCCTCGTGCCCTTAGGCCCCCCAATCGAGCCCTTGATTATCGGACCCGTTGGGCCCTCTAGGCTCTTCGGGCCTCCGACTTGGGGCCCTTTGCCAACACAAGGCTCCCGTTAGTGGCTGTGAGGCCCTGAAAGACGCTGGGGCCTCGACCGATGTAAATCGCCGCCTACGGCTTTCTTCCTGCCTAGGAAATGAGACCTCAGGCCCATGCCGCCACGTAGGCGACTTCACGTTACTTGTGGTCTCTGACCGACATATGGGCCCTTATCGACTCAGGGACCCTGATCAGCGCACAGCGCCCTCTGGCTGGCATTGGAGTGACCAGCTCTGCGGTCCGGGGCTCCCGAATGCGACCTACAGAATACCTTTCGGGCCCTTTGGGCCATCAAATCGAACCCCTACTTGTTGATTTCGAGAGGCCCACTTCGGAGTCAGCCGGGGAGCATAGGGGGCACGTGCCCCCCATGCTCCCCCCTGCCTGCGCTGCTGGCTGCATGTGGGGTCATAATGCGGCATCATGGTGAATTGTTGCGATTATGGTGGTAACTAATACGCGCTAGGGTGGGGGTCAAATTGACCTCCCCCGAAGGTTTTTCCAGAACGGTTTTCCAACGGCGCAGCGTAGCCGAGCCACATTTTGCATAGCTGTAGACAATTGAATAGCAAATCGTTTTGCGTAAAGAATTTAGATGTATCCTCTAAGGTCGCTGGCCTATGGCAGGTCAAAGTCAGACCATGGTTTCAGCGAAGGCAACTTTTAGGGAATCGTTCAATCTGATCCAACAGCGGAGTGTTAAACGAAGCCATACATCTCTGAGACGCTTTCTTAGGCAACACGACAGTTGAATGAGCAAATTGCATTGACCTAATGTCAGGTATGAAGGTCACACCAATGTCAAAACCAACCTGTTTTGTTACTCTAGGGCTTGCTGTATGGAATAGTTTCTGGTGCTCGTTTCGAGTTTATTGATAGCCGAAACCGCATCATGATCTCCCACGGACTTACTAGAGGTCAGAATAGGTCATTGACCTAAAATGATCCAGGTCAACATTTTGTTTTAGCAACATATTGCCTAGCTTTATCTTTGCCGCTGAGTCAAATGCAAAACTCAAAGCAATATTGCATGATTTTGGTCACCTTGATCTTCAAAACGTCAAACAAGGTCACTGACCTTGAATAAGAATGTGACCTTTTGCTTAGAAACGGTTATCTAGGTTCTGGGGCACTTAAGGGATCAACCTGAAACTTGACCTTGTTTGACCTTTTGTGACCTGAAGGTCATAACCTAGGAACCTGAAACTTTGACCTGAGTGAGTTCACGTACAGCTCAACACACCCTGTAAATTTAGTGCCTCTAGCTTTCTTAGTTCCCGAGATCTTAGTGGGGTCAAATTGGACCCCACCTGAGCGAAGGGTATCTAGGCGGCCGCCCGGGCGCGTGTTAAAAGTACTCATAAAAGCATGAAACGGCGGCGCCTCATACCATGCGTCTGCCGCTCGGAACCATTACTCACAACGCTACGTTGTGGCCAGGTTATCGGAGCATTCCTTCATGTGCAGTCGCACACATGGCATACCTTGGAGCGGCTCAGCGGACGTGGCATTTTGTTCAGGCATTCACCTGGTGAATTCGTGAACTTCGCGCAGCACAACATGAGGCGGACCAGCGTGACTGTTGAGTACTGCGACAGGTGCATTCCTGCCGCGTGTTTCATCGGTCGGCTACGGTAATGCTGATTGTGCAAGATCACATGACGCTGATGACAGCATGATTTACAGAGGTAACAATGAATTGTACAGTTGTCTACACTGCTATTGAATATGTACAAATGTCTGCTCATTTTGGGAATAACCAGGCATGCACGCACCATAAAGTGGCATTATAATTTAAATCAACATTATACATTCCCCTAAGTCTAAGTCGTCTTATGCGAAAAGTGCAGTGAGCGACATCATCATCTGCAATAAAATACAATTTTACACGAGTGGAGAACTCATGGTTAAGGGACTATAAATATATATTTTTAAGGGCTTCGCAACGTCGGCTTTGCTCTTTTCACGCTAGCATAACTAGACCGGGTTCTATTGCGGTTTCAAATCCAGAATGCCCTGAAAAGAGCATAACCAGGGGGTGACACTCATCGCTCGTCACCAGGCCTGTCAAAATAGCAAGAGGCCCTACTCTGACAATCCAGACGGAGAGGACGCTAATGATTACATGATTTACTCACACATGACTTGATTCTTTATATATCTGTTGACACTCCATGGGGCTCGCCCCTGTTCATCCTAGTTTGCTTTGTTTACTTCAGATTTGATACCGAATTATACCTCTGTCTAAACTGCGTGCCAAGAGCAAGTTAGGTTATTATCGAATGATATGACCTCAAAAGTTTGTTAGACATATTCGGTCGAATTTTCATGCATGGAGACATAATGACAGTTAGTTACATTGGCATTTAAACCACACACAGAGGGGCTGCACGCTAGCGCTAACACACTGGCGGCTGCTGTACTCACAGTCCCAGCGCTGAGCTCAGCTGCAGTCGCCCGGCACGGTCCTCACCGCCCGCTCCGTCTACGTGCCGCCCATCCAGCTGGCGGGCCGTCCGGTCGCCGCGTCTCCGCGCCTCTCTCTGCACCTCTTCACACGCAGGCCAGCAGCCCTCCGCAGGCGAGGTCAGGAAGACCAGTCCCGGCCGGCCGGTCCGGGCCGTGCCCAGTCCCCCTGCGCAGCACGGCGCACGCCGACTCTGTCACGGACACGGTCCGGTGTTTAGGCACGGACGCCGACGTGCCCAAACTTCGCGGTGCACTGGAGCGTACTGGGGAACGGACGCCGGTGGCCCGTGCCAAGGCTTCGGGTGGTGCTCCCTCGCCAGCCTCGCTGCAGGAGATTGTGCAGGGCTCGCGGCCCCGCCGTTTTGGCCGCACAGGGGGTGAACTGAACGGATGGTCCACGGTTAATGCGCTCGCTGTGGAGTAGAATGTAGACGTTACGGAGATCGGGGTGCCAAAGAACACAAACCTCCTTAATTGCTGTGTTTTATCGATTCAGTACGTTAACTCGTCCCCATCTACCGCAGGGTGGTAGCGGACGTCACCGCGGGATAGGCCACGCGGGTTTAAGCCGTCCCATTGGAAAATTCACTACGTGCGTGATTGGGATGATCCTCCTGACAAACCTTTCAGATGAAAAGGAAGTGCAAAGTCTTGGAGACGGTTTTTGCGTGTACGAGCAGGACCATGAACAAGTGTTAATTTTATCCGACTGCAGAAGTGGAACTTGTTACCACAAATCCGACATGCAATCTCTATGGCGAGCACCCATGGTGGAAACCTCACACAATCCGGACAGATGGAACTAAATCCAAAGGTTAGAAGTAATCGTTCTTTGCGCGTAATGGCAGAACCATGTAAGAGTGTCAATTTTATGCGAATTACGCACTGGGGCATGTTCCATCAACCTGGCATGCCGTCTCCACTGCAATCAGCCATGCTGGAAATGTCGAAACGATCGTTTTTCATCACTGGAAGCGAGCTGGTCCAACGAAGAACTATTAGTGATCCAGACAAGGCAGAGCTTGCTTCGAAGCATCCTAAGTAGGAAGTGAGTCACGTTGTCATCAGCTACCTTGTGTTGTTTGCGAGCATGCAGTATGTTTGTTTCAGATGTTGGTCGCGTGCGTGCTCCTGTGTGCAAATGGCACCTCGACAATAACGGCCGAGAGCCTGTCACATATCGACAAGGGCGGCCGAGAGCCTGTCACATATCGACAATGACCACCGAGAGCCTGTCACATATCGACAAGGGCGGCCGAGAGCCCGTCACATATCGACAAGGGCGGCCGAGAGCCCGTCACATACCGACAAGGGCGGCCGATAGCCCGTCACACCTCGACAATGACGGCCGAGAGCCTGTCACACCTCGACAAAGGCGGCCGAGAGCCTGTCAGATACCGACAAGGGCGGCCGAGAGCCTTTCACACCCCGATAATGGCGGCCGAGAGCCTGTCACATATCGACAAGGGCGGCCGAGAGCCCGTCACATATCGACAAGGGCGGCCGAGATCCTGTCACATATCGACAAGGGCGGCCGAGAGCCCGTCACGTACCGACAAGGGCGGCCGAGGGCCTGTCACACCTCGACAAGGGCGGCCGAGAGCCTGTCACGTACCGACAAGGGCGGCCGAGAGCCTGTCACATATCGACAAGGGCGGCCGAGAGCCTGTCACATATCGACAAGGGCGGCCGAGAGCCCGTCACGTACCGACAAGGGCGGCCGAGATCCTGTCACATATCGACAAGGGCGGCCGAGAGCCTGTCACGTACCGACCGGGCCGAGCGCAGGAATGCCTCAATAAGTTTTGTCATAAAAGGCGTCGATAGAAAGGGCATAGAAAAGCAGAGCAGCGATGTTAGCGTCTTCGGGAGAGCCTGTGGTACTCATCACTCACCTGGATATGATTTGTTACCACTCACTATCCGACTGAGCTGCCATCGTGATTCTTAGTGATAGTCTCAAGCTTGAAGGGAGTGTTCCGCTTTTGGGGTTTTGAACTGAAATAGCCATCTTGAAGATCGTTCGGTACCGTTTACAGCGCTGGCCTTCTTAAGATTCAAGCCCTTCTAGTTTCTTAGCAACGCTTCCACAAAGGTATGCAGACTATTTCGAGGAGAATATCTCAAAGCCACCCAGGCATTTATGGTGCCATAATGACGTCATTTAAATCCTGGCATTTTATTATCCGAGCGGTGATCAAGGCAAATAAAAAGGTGACTGTCGAGTACATTATATCTGGCGTTCGTAAACACAATCTCTAGATAAAGCGGCCGTCAATTGGCTCTCAATCAACGCCGTCCATGGTACGATGACGTAAGCAAGCGATTACGTGTTGTGGAGCATATTTACTCAACAGAAAAATTGCGCTGTCTAGAACAGCCTTTTCCACTTACAAGTATTCCAATAGTTATAAGCTAGTTTATTCTATCATATCTGATGCTTGCTTCAATATATTCAGATGTGGAACATTTCGTTTAATTGATATCAATGTGATTTGTAACTTTTAGAGGTTTTTACGAAGGCCCGTGACACACATTGCTTATCCACAATCATTTTCTTTCTTTTTATTCAATTCCAGTACGGAAAGGCATCAACACAATAAGGACTGGGGTGAATGGCTGTGGGTATTTATTGTCCGATGTTTGGGAAACTGGAAATTTTTGGACGACCTGTTTTTCGGAGGGCTTTTGACTGTTCTTATGACAGCTGGTCCCTTCTTGGACATTGGATTGGACTTTGAACACAAATTTCCAGAAAACGGCCCCTCCGATCATGATTTTCTCATGAAGGGTTTGAGTACATATTACCAGCTTTCTCTCATTAGGTTGACATGTTCATATAATGAAACCAAAACTCCGTTGTAACGCTTCACCTCTTACAATAACGTCTTCAGGTATCGGCACAAAACTAGGATCAAGTGCATTTCGTGTGGTTTTGGTCTTTTCATTCACGTTGCAAACAGTTAACATGAATACAAATATATGGGATAATTTTTTAAACCATGTCACACGCCCATAGAGGACGATGCTGCATGTCTCACTAGCCATGATCGTCGGCTGGCCAGCGGATTGGTGCGACCTTTTGCACCGACGGAATCCGCGTGTTTTAGACGGTTGACATCTTGACCTACGGTGGCCAGTGTTGCGAAACAAGCGTATATGCCGTGTGCATTCCAGTTACCATGAATTGGGCTTTACGTCCCTACGTCATTGTGACGTCTCCACCTCGCTTGGCTTTCCCGTCTGACTTGGTTTACGTCCTCACTCTCGCCCCTTGGCGGCGGGACGTGGCACACCAACAAAGAGTAACACATGTTCATCTCTCGGTAGATGGATCGGTACATGTCTCTCATATATGTGTGTGTGTGTGTGTGTGTGTGTGTGTGTGTGTGTGATAAGGCTTTACGAGGCACTCAGCTGCTGAGGCTATATGGCGTCGCTTGCCTCTCACCCTGGCAGGAGGGGCGGGTACCGCGGGGAATCGAACCCCGTACCTCTGGTTTCCCAGACGCACACTGGTTAACGCAGACGTGTTAACCACTACACTGCCAGCACCCCTCTCTCATATATACCGCGCCGAACACATTAGTCTGCCATTTTCGCGGCAACGCGTTAAGATTATCGTGTTATCCAGCATCCTGCGCGTGATTTTTTTTAAATTTTTTTATTTTCAAAAGTTTGTGTTGAGGGGACGGTGAAGATGCTCCTCGGCGGCGCCATCCTACAGGCGCATGGTCATTATTCTTGAGAACGTTGTTGTGGTTTGACTAACGTATCCACGAGTAACTGTAAGTCACCATTGTCGCGCGTAGCTGGTAGCTGAAGTATCTGGTAGTAGGAGAAGAATACCAGGCGGCATTTCGTCCGTGAAAAACCATGCGGTATTATACATGGCTTCGACCATGACATCGGTATTACAGACATGATCCGTGCACTTGCGCCGCATGCAGCAGGTGACAGTGATTGATTCATTATTAGTCTTCAGAAGAGACATCATTTGTCCTCCACCCTCAACACCCTCCACACTAATGACACCCTGCCCCCCGCCCTCCCTCCCTTGCGATGGCGATCAGTTTCGCTCAGATATTTTCCAGACCGACTACCTGACACTGCACAGCGTTTCCTACATGCTCGGGTCACATGTAGCTGCCATCTTTTAATGTATAATTAACGATCATTATAAACAACTCCCGTCGTCTGGAAAAACGGCCAGGGCGCTATGACGAGTAGCGACGCCATGACATTGATAAAAGACTGCGGCGCAGCCTGTCTAAGCTGCAAAGTCCCAATGCTGTTGTTGGAGGCCAGTGGATGTTAAGTTCATGGGTGTTACTATTCATCCCTTTGGGGAGGTACCTGAACGCCCTCCCCATCCCCAATACTGAATTGAGCCTCCTCAATGTTCTCATGAACACACTCCCAATGCACGTGAACAAAAAAGGACTACTGGGCCGACGGAATGCAGCCAATTTCTCTGAACTGCTGGTGCACTAGGCATCTAAACCCGCCACTTCATATCACACCCATTTGGTACCAAATAGTGCCCTGTCGGTACCTAGCGTTTTTAGCATGCCAACCGTCCCACGTGTTACGCCAGGCTGCAAGCGTTGCCAGGTTTTCATGAGATCGCTCAGGTGGATCAGAACAAAAAATTGGCTGCAAAAGTGGCGGCTATTTTACGTGACGCCCAGATAAACGCTGCGTAACGTATTACACAATAATGGTAGGTGCATTTGGCGCACAGTTGTGAATGTGCTGGTATCATTCAATAACAAATTCAGCGGAGAACGCGGACAGCGACGTCAGTATTCAGAAATTCCACATCCGTCAAATGCTGACTGCAAAACATGCTCCAGATGGCCCCCGGGCGCTGCGGGACGCCTAACAGCTGAACCTGCTGCGAGCGGTCGGTTGCCCGTCAACCTTGTCGCCTTGATGCATCCCATCTCAAGTCTGAAGGCGGCCTTGAGCTGTTGCCTCAGGGTTCGCTGGCTTGTCCACATGGGCGTGGTCCTGCAGTTTGTCCCATATCCAGTCCAGCGGCGATGGTTCAGGCGAGCGTGGAGCCTCTTCTGGGCGGTTTTAAGCTGATGTG